CTTATTTTGCAGTACAGTGGAACAATCTAATTTTAATAATCAATCTTGACCTTGTAAAACAGTGTTCTTACAAATTCTTGCTTTGAATTCTTTATTCAGTTTTTGAACACATACGAGGGGGAAAAATATATTAGCTACTTTTAGTTTTGATAGCTTCTTTTAAAACTTATTCACACTTAGCAGCTATCAGTAAAGGAGGTATTTTGGTATTCATGTACTTTCATAAAATAGGCTTGTTAAAGGAGTAATACCTAATTTCTTCACTTTATCAGTTCAAATTTTAATCCTGCATATTTTTATCTTCTTGATGGACTATATCATAGAAACATCCAATGTAACTCATCACTTTCAAGGTCAACTGGGATGAAGTAACTACTTCACAGTCATTGTGTATATATTTACTTCCTTTTAGAAATGTTAGTACCTGTAATGAAACCAATCTATTTTTAAATTTGTGAAGCCAGTTGTATACATTGTTTATGAATTGCATTTTGAGTTCAATATACATTAAATCATGTAACTGACACTGATATACCCCAAAACAGTCTTCAATACATGTTTTAGAAGACGATACCCTAAAATTTGGGCTTGTTTACTGTGCTGATTTTAGTGAAGCTGCCACTGGTTTACAACAGCATCAGTCAGAAAAGAGTCTCATCCAAACGCTTTGAAAACACTCACAGAAAAATGTTTTCTGATATAAAGTTTAGTATTTTTATTTGCACTAGCTATTTCATTAAAATCATTATATGCACATTCTGTGTTCAGAGAGTGTTGTGTGCTTTGCTAAAAACACACACCTAAATTCATTAAATTTCGGTGGAGTTTGGGATTTCTGGGCTTGTTAGAAATAAAACTTTTCCCTGAGCAGCCTCTCTGTTCATGGGTGGATTTCAGGTGAAGGTGGTAAAAAATTTTATGCCTTTTATTCCTTTTCCACCTCTTGCATTTATAGCCACATGTTTTCCCTGAAAAATAATTTCCATAATTTTTATGTTTTCTCTTATTACTACTATTGCACACACTTTAAAATTTTGTTTAGTTTTACTTTGAAGCTGAGTGACATGTGAGCATAGGATGACTGTTCTGGAAGGCCTGTTATAACATGGAATTATCCAAGAAAAGCTACTATGTTTAAATTACTAAGCTCTTAAGAGTACACACAGCTCTATGGCTTCATAAAGCATTTTTAAACATACTTTGCTAAACATTTTGACCTAATGCAACTGAAAAATGCATTCCTTTCTTGTTAATGAGAATAGATTTTCTCATGAGAACAAATGTTTGCATCGTAGCAAAGTGATGTTAAACCTAGCTTAAGTCTTTGAGGCACTGTAATCCAGCCTGAACCACTGCATGTGAAATGCCTGTGGCACCTAAAATTACTTGGATATCTGAGATCTATGTTTTAGACCACTGTCTAGACATACAGACATTATAACAGCAAGTGGCATTATGTGAGTGCCTACAATCACTTTGTTTACTAAAGCACATTTGTACATCGGTAATTTACTAAATACTGAGGGTTCTAAGTCAGTAACTGTTTTATGAATTCTTTAGCAAAAACTTAGTATGCAATGGTCCAAATCTACTTCACAGTCACTTTTCCACTTAGGTTAACCAGCAGTGGCATAAACTGAAGTTAATTATTTGGGCTGGCAAGTAACTCTGCTTTCTATCTGCTTTCAGAGTCTCCCAGAAACAGCAACGGATATGAGAAGAGACCGAGTTTTGAACCACCAAAAGAAGCTTCTTACTGAAATGGAGGAGGACAGGCGTCGACTGCAAGAGAACGCCCAAAATGCAGAGCGTGCCCTGCTCACGGCAGAAAAGTGAGCACTGGGACCTTGGGGACATCCCTTAAACCAGACAAAACATCAATTCCGACTTTCATGCACAGGGTTTTAGCCTTGGCCAATGTGATGCTAGAAGACAAATGTACATCTGCATATCTTTGAAATTCAGGGATAATCTTCTAAAAAGAAAACTGTTAGTTCAAAATGATGATGTGTTTTCTGTAGTTATCCCATAATAGTGCTCCAGATTCTGAGTAGTATGGGCGTTTGTTTGCAGTTATCCTAAGGATTTGAAAACATCTCTTTGGCAAATCCTTAGCACTCTGTTCATTTAAGAAATTATTATTCTTTCTATTTCCACATAATCTTTTTGTAGAGAGATATCATACATTTATAATAAGTACAGAAGCATCAGCTGGGTGGCAGGTCTTAGCTGCCAAAGGGGCTGAAACCCATTTTGGACCTAGTCTTATCCCCAGTAGAAGCGTTTTTCATATGGAAATTTGCCAAATAGCGGTACACAAACTATTTTTAGGGTTTGCATTGGAGATATAAAAAGGAGAGATAAAATCATAACAGTTGAATTATCAACAATTATTTTATAAGATTACTGTTACAGAGTAGCAGAAAATTAATTTCTACAGAAGTAGAACTCTAGTTCTATAAATTACTCACTTGTTTTTGCTTTTTTTTCTCTTGTAATAGTAACAAAGAATTGATCATTACTCATATGAAAGCTGTGGAAACCACTCTTCAGTTGGTAAGAATTTGAAGGGTTCCCTCTGATTTGTGTTTCCAAAGACATCAAAGTTTTACAACTTCTTATCATCAGGGAAGGACAGGAGTAGAAACTGTTTTAGAACAACTTGCTTTCCTTAGAGTTTAAGTTACCCCCTTCATCTTTAATCTTAAAAAAATTGCAATGAAATAAAATGCCACTTTCTAATACACAAACTTCTAATTTTGAATAGAAAAGTTACTGCAAAATTAATTTTCCCTCAATCATTGACTACAGTTTCTGGTTGCCAAGGGTTGACTATGGAACATCTGAAAAACTGGCAACTGCTGTTAACTCTCTACTGGGTAAGGTGGAGGTCATCTGCTGAGGTTGCATACATGGTGGCCATAAAATATTTGGCTTTGTGTGTGCTACTTTAACCTTTAATACATGATAAACAGAATAAGTAAAAGACAAATAACCTGTGGTCAGAAATTTAACTGATATTTTTAAAAACACTTTTTAAACTGAGTAATAATATTAAGTTGCCTCTTTGACTTTTACTGTTTTTGCCAGCTATAGGATTGTTTGAAGGTACAGCAAAGATGTACTTATTAATTATTTGGGAGAAAATTTTGTTTGTTTGTTTGTTTGTTTGTTTGTTTGTTTGTTTTGGGGTTTTTGTTTGTTTGGTTTTTGTTTGTTTTTTTTTGTTGTTGTTTTGTTTTTTGTTTTTTAACTGTAGTTCTAATAAACTGATTGCATTATAACTTCTAATCTAGAGCCACATGGGGGGGGGGAAGTGGTTTTTTTTTGTTGCCTTAGAGTGTTAATTTCCATTACATTTTTAATTCCTAGCAACATGGACATCTATTCCTTATTTTAGATTCTGTGTTCACCAAAACTGTTGTTATTTTTAATTTTCAGATACCTTTTTCAAGTCTCTCTTTCTTTTAACATTCACAGAAAGTAGCAGAACCTAAACTGTATGTTTTAGCTGTAGCAAAATGTGCTAACAGATAATTTGCTTTGTGCCACCATCATCTTCATACAGCTTCGCTTAAGCTTCTCAGGTGGATGTCATGCAGAAACCGCTGTGATTTTACAGTAACATGTACAAGTTTTGTCCTTGGCCTTCTCATTTAAGATCAGGGAAAGATCCTTTTCTTTGTAGTGTTCTTTCCCAGCATTTTGAATTAGAGATTTATGTGCAATGAAAAATCAAATAGGCTAAGTTTATTCTTGGATTGGAGGTTCAGTCATCCCTGCAAGTCCACTCAAAGGGCTCAAGGGGACCCAGTTCATCTCAGTTAATTTTTTGAAGGAGAATCCACATTGCGGCTGGGATTTTTTTCTTTTTAGGTCAGAGAGCAGGCCTTAATGCTAAGTGCTGCAGCAGGCACAACGGAGTTCTGCCTGGAGCTACCCAGACTGCAAATAGATGCCCTTCCGCGTGAAGAACTGTGGGGCAGGCCAGAGGCTATAGCATTCCAGGTCTAAACAATCTATCTAACAACTGTCTAAAACAATCCTGTTTCTTTCTTCTTTTTTTTTTTTTTTTTTAATTTTTTTCATCTGAGATAAAACGATTAGCTAGACTGCTCTGAATGTGTGGAGAGCAAAAAGCTTCAAAAATATTGCAGCCAGCAGCTGAAAGACAAATAATTTCCATATATACTCTTGCACACAGTATTTCAGAGCTGATGGGAACTCTTAGTTTTGCAGGTGTTAAATAACTGATAGGAATACGACCACTGAGAAATGCACATATACCTGAAAATTATTATCCCTCTATCCCCCTTCCCTTTCCTCCTCTTAATATGAGCAAGACAAAATAAGAAAAAACCCACACCACTTATATTACTCAGGAGGTAAGCAAACAGCATCAAAGAACAATGGTTCACAGTCTGTGTCACTGTGAAGTCCCTTCTCTCCCTGTCCCTTTTCTACCTTTCCTCATCTCTGGTTACATTGTGCCTGTTTAGCAACTTTCTCAGTACATTATGGAGATTTTATCTTAAAATGTGCCTTTTATAGCTAGGAGTCAGGAAACTGATTTTAATTTCACTGTATGCAACACTATATCCTGTGACCTTGAATGAGGTAAGAAGTAAATAATCACTTTAGGGACACTTCTTACTAAAAGCAGTGCAGACATGTCTGCAATTATTTGCAGACATGTCCTCTAGAATTGCTATAATCAGTCTGTGACAAGAACATATCAGTTAAAGGCCCTATAATCTGCAAGAATCCTCTTTTAGGACTAGCACCATAGTACCGAAACATTTTGAATACTTCTTCTGATGAGAAAAGATATATGACGGTGTTAATTTGCTACTGCTGTTCCCTACACTTCACAATGCCATTACTTGATTAATTTCAGTTATGTTAAGTTTTATTCTGAAAAGCAGTAGTATGCTTGAGAAAGGGAAACAGCAAAAATCTTTGCAAATACCTGTTTGAGGTATTAAATTTATTTTTGTCTATACTACAGACTTACCTTCAGAAGGTCAGTTTCATATTATCTGAAGAGAAAACTATAACTTATAAAATGTGATCTGCTACTATTAGGGAAGACCAATATTTTCAACTACTTATGGTACATATAAAGTTTCCTGTCCTGCCAAATCATTTGTACTCTCTCATGCTGCTAACTTTATTATCATTCTAATCAATATTACAACTGGGATATTGTTCCACTATATACATAAAAACAATTACATTTCCCTAGCTGTATTGTAATCAGATTATTTTGCCTCTCTTATAAACCTTGTTTGATTTCTCCAATTAATAGAAAATTATCTTCCCTAATGAATTTGAAAGTACCCTATTTGGCATTTAGATATAGCTTACTTGTCACTAACAATTTATTTTACTTTTCAAAGGATGTGGTTCAAAGTTTTTTGGACATCTACCAACTTGCAGCTAGCAGAATTGAAACATTACTGAGAGAAACTTCTCAGCTTCGCACTGCAGCCCAAAGATCCAGACAACAAACATTCACCATTCATGAAAGTTATGGTAAGTCACTTCTCAAGCAATTTTTGAAATTTGGATATAGTTTCGTAGCCAGCATCTCCCTTCATGCTGCATAGTTTCTGTAGGTAGATACAATAATACTTAATTATAAACATAATGGAACAGTAAAACTAATGTCAATAGAAACCTCCTGAGACTTTTTTCAGAAGAGAAAAGTGCTCAGTCCATCCACTGGGGTCATGTTAAGTGCCAGAGAGTGTCTATCATGAGCCAAATCCATAACACATTCCATGTGTTACGACATGATTGGGGGAATGCTTTCCAGATATTGCAAGAAGCAGATTTGGATGCAAACTGGATGAAAAATCGGCTTGCCTTTTTCACTACCTCATTTAACTTTTTCTATCCAAAATTTGTTTGGATACTCAGTATCTAGGAATGTGTACTTTTAGCTTGTCAGGCTATTGTAACCCCTTTGGAAATTATAGTAATTTGATTTAAATGTTGCCTACAAGGCAAAAGGTTCTGTTAATAGGATGCAAGGGTAATTTAAGTGCAGAACTAAATGTAACTTGCTCCCAATGACTGAGGCCTCCATATCTATAGTTTTACCGTGGCCCCTGGGTTTGAAAGTTTATTAAAGTTACTAATTAACTTTAGTAACTTTACTAATACTTAGCTGCACTCCAGAAAAAGAGCAAGACAGTTGAGCTGTTGAAACAGAAATGGAAACATCCTGAGGTGAAAAGTCGCAGAAGAACAGTTGGCAGTCTAATTTTTAGGGCAGTCTTCCACTGGCAGGTGGTAGAAGCACAAGACTGCTGGGGTGTGGTAGTCAGAGAACTGCATTCTGCAGCAGTGCGGCTGTGTAAACATCCCTAAAGGAAGGATCTTGCTGTGAGCAAGTAACAATGTGTTTTTTTAACAATGCAGTTCCTTAATTTCTGTGAATTCCTGTTGGAATAATCTGCAAGTCATAAGCACACCATCTTCCAACAGACTGATATTTGAAGAGCGTTAAGTGTTTGATTTCAATTGATGGTAAAATAAATAGAAAAGTAAAGGAGTATCTTCTGTGGTTAGCATGGCAAATGTTTCCTAGTGAAAGTAATAGGGAGACTGTAGAATAAGTTTGTTCACTCGATTAAAAAAACCCATGCCCTAGAAATTATAATGGTAAGGGTTAAAAGTTCTCACTAAGTATTTGTAGCACTTCAAATAATGTATGCTATTGTTTTCTAACACTTTCTGGTGCAGAATACTTGATATAAGGTTCTTGTTTCTATCGATTAGAGATTAATGTATATGGTCAGGTGCCAAGTATTTTCAATAAATTCTTCAAACAAAATGCAAACACTTGCAAGTACTTCACATACATACCTTTTGTGAAAGGTATTTAACATTAATTGCAGATTCCCTTTTGATTTTTCTTTTTTTTTTTTTTTTTTTTTTTTTTTTTTTTTTTAATTCTTTGTTTTATTGCAGAAAGCAGGAAAGAGCCTAAACATCCAAGTAGCTTCAAGCTAGATAGTCAGGTTGACGAGCCTTATGTCCCAGAGATTTATCTATTGCCAGCAGAAGATCAAATTACCTCCAGCATGACGCTGCAAAGAGACAGTACTCAGCCTTCAATCCATCTGTCCTCCAGTGTGATACCAGATAGACCTGGTACTGGGTCTTCAATCCACATGTCCTCCAGTGGGATACTGGACAGAGCCGGTACTGGGCCTTCAATCCATGTGTCTCCTGCTGAGATACCGGACAGAGTTGGAACAGGGTCTTCAATCCACATGTCTGCTGATATGATACCAGACAGAAGCAGTACTCGGTCTCCCATCCACATGTCCTCCAGTGGGATACTGGACAGACCAGGTACTGGGTCTTCAATCCATGTGTTTGATGATGCAATATCAGACAGAATCAGAACTCGGTCTCCAACTCATATGTCCCCTGGTGTGATTCAAGACAGACCTGGTACTGAGCCTTCAATCAGTGTATCTCCTGGAGCAATACCAGACAGAGGCAGTACTCAGTCTACCATCAACATGCCAGCTGATGTGATACCAGATAGAAGCAGTTTTCTATTTCCAACCCTCATGTCGTCCAGTGAGAGTGCAGATAGAAGCACTACTCGGTCTCCAACTCACATATCCCCCAGTGTGATACCAGATAGACCTAGTACTGAGCCTTCAATTCGTGTGTCCCCTGGTGCAATACCAGAAAGAAGCAGTTTTCTATTTCCAACCCTCATGTCGTCCAGTGAGAGTGCAGA